TTTTAAACAACTCAAGTTCTGAGGATGTCATAAATTCCCAGGCTATGAAAGGAAAACTGGCCTGAACACTCTGAAATGCCACTTTGACTCTGTAGTTCACAGGCACATCAAAATGTCAATGTATAAAAAGTATATATCCATATCTACATTTTGTCTATTGGTGAATGTGATTTTTTTTGTTTTTAAACAAGCTGTAGAGGTCTTGTTATGAAAAGATTTTCTGCAGGAAATAGAGACTGGCAGGAATTGGATGGCTGCTTAGCTGATGAAGACCTTTCAGGTCTCTGGGATTGTGTTCATCTTAAAGTTGTGGAATGTTAGAGGTAATAGAACCACTCAGCCCCTTGTTGCCTCTTTCTGTTTTCTGACCTTCAGGTGGCATCTGAAGAGGTACAAGAAATGAGATGTTTTAAATGAAAATCAGAGACCATCAGCTGCTGCTCTGCTAAGTCCCATTTCTTTTTGCTACGTGGTACTTGTTGTTTCATTCTGTTTGGTTGTAGTTTTAAGATCCTGAGTTCTGGAGAGGTGGTGCAGTGGGCTGTATGTTGAGTTGCCCACCAAGAGGTCAGCTGTTTGAATCCATCAGCTGCTGTTCGGGAGAAAAATGAAGCAGCCTGCTCCGGGTAGAGATTCCAAACTCACTAGGGGTCAGAATGAGTTGGAATTGGCTCACGTGGGTCAGTGGGTCTGTAAGTAATTACTGCAGTTACAAGGAGCTCTGATGATGTGTTGAACTGATGGCAAGCAAGTTGTTCGAATTCACTAGCTGCTCCACAGCAGTGTCCTCTTGTAACAATTTATAGCCATGGGTCACCGTGAATTAGAATCAGCTCGCATGCGTCCACTGAGCTTGATTTTTAGGTTTCGTAGGTAAATGTGAAGGTCGGTATTTCTGCCTAGATCTGATAAGTTGTTTTCTTGTGTCACCTATTAAATGTTCAAAGAAATGTTTTATAATGATGCTTAGTATTTTTTGACCATACTCTAAGACTGAGAGTGAAATTTCAGCCACAGATTGAGATTTACTTTGTAAATTGTCAGATTTTTTGTACGCATTATTAGAATGGCCTCTTATTTCAGGCCATAAAACCAAAACCCACTGCTGTCAAGTTCATTCTCATGGCCACCCTCCACTGGGTTCCTGAGGCTGTAAATCTCAGCTCTAAGGAGGAAGATACTGCTTCACTGTTCACTCACGGAGAGACCGGTGGCTTTGAACTGCCAGTTTTTGGGTTGGTAGCCCCACATGTAACACACTGCAACATCAAGGCTCCTTGAGACAGAAAAAGCCAAAATTTAAAATCTGCCACCATTGAGTTGATTTCAACTCATAGTGACTCCATGATATTTATGGAGCTTTTAAACTTAAGAGGAGGAAAAGGCTCATCTTTCTCCCAAAGAGCAACTGGTGGATTTGAACAACTGACAATTGACAATTTAGGTTAGCAGTCTGGCATATTATGTACTACACCACCGGAACTTCCAATTTATTTTAGGCTCCTTAGGAATTACTAAGTCAGGAGAAAACCTTCCAAAGAGTGTTTTCCTTTCTCCCACCACCGAGTGGGGGGGTCTGTTATCTTGTTTTCTTCTTCCTTCAACAAGCACTGTAATCATCGCCATTGTTCTGACTTCTAAAAGGAAGTGAGTTTGTGTACTGTTTACTTATGTGTGT